TTCTATCCTAAGCTGGCTTTGGTAGCACATGCATGTAATTCCAACACTGAGGAAGCTGATGTTGGAGGATCCTGAAGAAGTCAAGGCCAGCCTGGGCTACACAGCAGCAAGGCCTGGTCTCAAGAAACAAAACCAAAAGAAAAAATAAAAGAAAAACCCAAATCTATCCTTCAGGTGTCCTGGGTGAAAATCACACATGGTATTAGCTTACCAGTTTTGAAATTAAATGTACTAAACTAAGAGATGTGGGAGAAAGGAAGACTTCAAAGCAAGCACTTGCTCTGAAGGACAGTATGATCATTTAAAAAGTCCAATGAACACAGAAAGGGATTCAGACAAGACTATTGTGAGTTTGTGGCCAGCCCAGGCTATGCAAAGAAGACCCTCTCTCAAAAAAACACAAAGTTCAACACAATTAACTTATTTCTCTCACATATATGAGGCAAAAATGAAAACAAAAGAAACTGAAGTTCATTTATATTTGACTTTTGGAAGAATCACAAAAAGCTGGGCATTGTGGCACATACTTTATAATCCCAGCACTCTGGAAGGCTGAGGTATGAAGTTCCAAAGTTCAAGCCCAGACCAGGGAATTTAGTGATACTTGGTTTCAAAATATGAAGTCTGGAGATATAATTCAGCACAAAGACCTAGAATTCAATACCCAGTACTGGGGGGGGCTGTTTATAAAGTCTAATCTGACATAATCCTTTCCCAATTAATTGAGTGCTGTGGCCCAGCCCATTCCATTTTCACCAGTGGAGGTCACATTACCCAAGCTAACCTACTCATGCTGAAAGTTGCAATTTTTCAAATTTTTGCAGGAAATTCATGGTACCTAGAAAAAGTCAGCCAGGCGTGGCGGCGCAGGCCTGTAATCCCAGCACTCGGGAGGCTGAGGCAGAAGGATCGTTGCAAGTTCGAGACCAGCCTGGGCTACAAAGTGAGCTCAAGGCCAGCCTGAGCTGCATATCAAAACCCTGCCTCAAAAAAGACCAAAAAAAAAAAAAAAAAACCAAAAAACAAGGAAAAAAAATTTAAAGAGAAAAAATTTATTATGTTCCACTGTTATTGGCATTCCAAAAATGGAACACTAGGCATAAAAGGATTAATCACTGGTAATTCATGGAGATCAGATCCAAAAAGATGACCCTGAGTGGAGATTTACAAAGGACTATCTATACAGTACTGAACAAAGGCTCTGCTCTCTTAGGGATTATATCTCAAGAAGGGTTTTTCCAATCTAAAAACTACTCCCCACATCCTATGTAGAAGGATAGCTTGTAAAAACTAAAGCAGGAGAAGCTAAGCCACTGGCTCAGCAACAGACTCAACGTCAATATAAACACAGACATCACAAGGTCGGTCCCAGGATTTGTCTGCTCCTCTCCTCCAAGAGTCCTCTGTTAAAAGTAAAAACATTTATTCCAGCTAGGAGTGGCAGTGAACACCCATAGTCCCAGCACTTCGAGGCTGAGGCAAGCAGATTGTAAATTCAAGGCCAGCCTGGACTAATATGTGAGACCTTTAAATCAACCAACCAAAAAACCCCCAAAGCATTTATACAGCTGTACATAGAGGTGCACACCTTTAACCCCAGCTACTGTAGGAGCTGAGAGGCAAGACGACTTCAAGTTTGAGGCTACCTCTGGCAACTTAGCAAGACCCTGTCTCAAAATAAGTACATTTTTTAAAAGCTGGAGATGTAGCTCAGTGTTGCAGCACCCTGAATTCAGTTCCTAGCACTGTTAAAAAAGAGGATAGGGGAGATTACATCATAATTTATTTTTTCAAGTACAATGGGACAATGTCTGACACTTTCCCTTTGGCAGAAAGGGAATAAATGAAGTAATTAAAAGTATTTCAGGGGCAATTTTGCCCTTCACCTCAGAACCTACAGACTTTTTCTTACAGCACCAGGAACTGAATCCAGGGAGTATTGAGCTGCATCCCCAGCCCTTTAAAAAAATTTATTTTTAGACTGAGTCTCAGCTGCCCATGCTGGGCTCAAACAGCCTCCCAAGCAGTTGGGATTACAAGCCTGTGCCACCACACCTGGCTCCTTGAAGTCATTCTGGCAGGGGTCACAGGCAGGGCCTGGTCACTAGTGGGTTGATACCAGAGGTGCCGATAAACATTTAAGATGCAGAGGGCAGCCCACCACAACAAATAATGGCACAGCCCTGATGTAGGTAGTGCTAAGGTGGAGGTGCAAACTACACAGGAGTATGGTAGGCGGGCGATGGGCAACTGAAGGCCAGGTAGGATGCCCATTCATTAAATGTCTTTCTGCTTCATTTAAGTTTTCACAATAGATTTTTCTTTTAAAATCATCTTGTGAAGTCTGCATCAGCCTGCCAACTGAGTGCAGTGAATTTTTAAGAAGTCAGGCCTCAAAATGCCAGGATGATTTGAATTAAAAATGCAACTTCTGCCAGTGCCTTGGACCCAGTCAGCCAGAACAACAGAATGTAGCACATACAACAGGGTTCCAAAATACATCCCCTCTATTTGGTTACATGAGTTAGTTTCTTTTTGTGTTTTTTTTTTTTTTAGTTTAGTTTTTCTCCGGTATCGGGAACCGAACTCACGACCTTGCACTTGCCAGGCAGGCGCTTTTGCCGCTGAGCTAAATCCCCAGCCCCGAGTTAGTTTCTTTTTGACTAATCCTCCGTCAGAGCTACACGTAAGAAATCTATGTAGAGGTTCTCAAACCCATTTCCACATTTTCCTATTACAGCAGGGAAACAATTCTAAAAACTGCAGATCATTATTTGTATGCGTGCTACAAATCTGGTTCACATTAACAGAAAAGTATCAGGCAACTCCGTTCTTCTGCGTCCCACCTCCCAATCTAACCAACACCTGATCGCTCTGACGGCTTTATCCTCAATAATTAATACTAATGTATTCCTGTATTCCTGGGAAACCAGTGACCTTCCACTTCTTTTATTCAACACGGCAAATACCCCTATTTATCATTCAGTATGAGCTGCTTCTGTGAAAAACAACAGAGACAGGGACGTGAAAGAATGGGACCATTCTCTCACACGAGAACAAGAGACCGAAACATACTTGTTTTGTCAATCAGGCTCTGAGCTTGCTCTTCCATCCATTTCTGGTAGTAGTCTTTCACATTCTCTTTATGTTTCCTACCACTGCAGTGTGTCTTTCTCACAGACGGCTGTAAAACAAAAAATATTTTATCAGACACAGAAACTACAAAGTTTATAAAGCTTCACCTTTATATAGGTATGCCTGGCTAGCTTTGGCTGAATGGTAAACATAATCCTGCAACACACTATGGTTAATTTATTTTCTAGACAAGGAGTCAACAGCTGTGTTACAAAGAAAAAAAAAATCTATTTATATATAAAGACTTGCTTTAAAACATAGCTGAGCGGAAAAACATGTAGTTGATAACCAGTAAACCAGGATATGTTTGTTTGTTTTTGTTTTTCTTCCGGTACCAGGAATGAAACTCACAACCTTGCACTTACCAGGCAGGCGCTGTGCCACTGAGCTAAACCCCCAGCCCCTAAACCAGGACATGGAAGCCAGATATCTTCACATGTTCTTCATGGTTATCTACCTCCCTAATGGTATACATGCCTACTGCTTCTGCAGTAGATACAACTAATATTAATACAATCAGCCATGGTGGTGTACTCCTGTAATCCCAGCACTTGGGAGGCTGAGGCAGGAGAACTGCCATGAGTTTCAGGCCAGCCTGGGCTACACAGTGAGTTCAAGGCAGCCTGGAATTTATATTGAGACTCAGACTAAAAAAAAAAAAAAAAAAGTTAATTTAGTGGAGATTGTCTTTTCTAGTCTATTTCAAAATATGGCTCACCTACCAAATCTCTGCTTATATTAATACAAACAATAATACTGTAACCATTCACCAATCCAATTATTTAAATACAAGATGACCAAAAATTGCATTTTTTAGTTTTTACAAGAGAACAGGAAATACAGAAACAATTTAATTAAATTTATTCAATAGTTTTTCTGTGTACAGTGTATCTTAACATTAAATATACAATGCAACATTACAATCCCGACAGTAGTATCTAGTCTCTTTCTTCTTTTTTTTCTTTTTGTTTTTGAGATAGGTCTCGCTATGCACTTCAGGCTCGCCTTGAACTCACTTTGTAGCCAAGGCTGGCCTCAAACTCACAGCAATCCTCCTGCCTCAGCCTCCCGGGTGCTGAGATTACAGGTGTGAGCCACCACACCTGGCTTCTAGTCTCTTTCTGAATTCTTTTTGTAGTATTGTCTTTCTTTGAACAATATACTTTACAATGGCATGTTGGCCTTTCCTTTTTTCTCTGGGTGTTATAATTTCAATAAAATGTCTACTCACTGAACGTAATGGTGAAAAAATACATAAATAAACAAACAAACAAACAAACGTAATAGTGAAGGCCCGGTTGGCCTTTTGCTAGCCTGTATTTTTCAATTATTTGGTCTATTAGATCTAATCAACTGTAAATGACTATTTTAATCCCCTTGTTTGCACAAATAACAAATGAGTTCCATACTGTTTGGTTCAGAAGGTGCATAAATATTTTATAATAATATCTTTTCCCTGCTTTTGAATACAGAATGGCTTGTGAGATGTCGGTCAACTCTGTCAACACCAGCCATAGAATTATTATAATCACTGACCACTACTGGAATTTTTTTGTTTTGTTCTTTCAAGTTCTATCATTTCTGTATTATGAATAGGGGACAGTAAGGACGCATCTTTTTTGTCTTCCCACTTCATAACAGACTGTTCTTCTCTGATATGCCAACAGTTCTCCCTTTTTCAGGTTTTTCTTTTGCAGATCTTTGGCACTTCCTTTCTATTCAGTCTCAGTGTCCCAAACGTGTCCATTTTAGAGCCAGGCATGGTGGCGTACGCCTGTATTCCCAGCACTCGGGAGGCTGAGGCAAGAGGATTATTGTGAGTTCAAGACCAGCCTGGGCTACAAAGTGAGTTCAAGGCCAGCCTGAACTACATAGTGAGACCTTGTCTCAAAAAGACAAAAAACAAACAAACAAACAAAGTATCCATTTTGAGTTTTTCTTTTTTTGGGGGGGGCGGACCAAGAATCACGCAGTTCTAGAGAAGTATAAAAATTATATCTAATGTATTTACATTAAGGTTTTATAAGTTATGGCACAAAACTATAGGTTATTTTTCACAAATAAAATAAGCATGAATTAGCAAAAGAAAACAACCAGAACTTATTACTAGATCTCAGTAGAAACAAACATCAAAGGTGAATACAATATTCTAAATTAAAAGTATGCAAAAAATATCGATATAAAACAAGACATACAAGTGTATCTCATGCAAACAAGAATCGACTAGTTGAAAGGACACCTGCCCAAGCAATGCTTGGGATAGTCAGAACATAAACAAATATGCTGCCTGAGTGACACAGGGGGTAAACTGTTCCGTGGTTAAACCAAACAACAAAATCATGCTTATGAACCCGTCATTTCAGCAGCCGGAGGTGGTAAAACACTTGCTTTGCATGTACAAGGTCCTGAGTTCAATCCCCAGCACTGGGGAGAAGAAAAAAGAACCCTTAGTTCAAAACAAATTTTTCCCCCCCAAATTTATAGTATTTAATGGTTTTATACAATTCAAAGTCCAGTGCAGGGGGCTGAGGATTTAGCTCAGCAGCACAGCGCCTGCCTGGCAAACATAAGGTTGTGAGTTCGATTCCTGGCACCAGAAAAAACAAAACAAAACAAAACAAAAGAGCAAAGTCCAGTGCAGGAAGATGCTACAAATCACCAAAGAAATTTTTTCAAGGTATCATTTTAGAATGACAGTATTATAAGAGTTCCCAACACTTTTCACAAAGAAATTTTATTATTTTCCAAATGCTGGCAGTAGCAAGATTTGCAGGTACATGAAAATACGTCCAAAAGACTGAAAAGCATAGCCTCCACACCAACAATTTTAAGAAAATTATGACTACAGATTTTTACCTACAGGGAATTAGGAACAATAAAAGATTGCCGACCTATACTACACGCAAGGGCTAACTAGTATATATTAATTTATTAGATGGGTCTCCTCTAGGACAATCTATAAAAATATTCAAAACTATTATTTCTTCATGAGGAACCACCTTACATGTTCCTCAAATTTGTTAATGCTGAACTACTATATCTGACCATGTATTAGGAAGGTGGTTTTTTTCTTTTTGGGTGGGGTGTCATGTTGGCAATTAAGCCCAGGGCCTTATACATGCTACACAAGCGCTGTATATAGCGCTATATTCCTGCCCCAGAAAGAAGTTTAAATGAAGTGGCAATAGACAAATTATCAACTAGGTTCTTCCAGCTACTGTTCAAGATGATTAAGTTTTCTGATTTAACCAGTTCCTGCAGAAGCAGTAAACTACAGAACTGCAATTTTCAAGGTTTGGTTTCACAGATACCAAAAGGTCTCTGAGACCTCTTTAGCGGTTGTACAACAAGCATTTTCATAATAAAGCTAAGGTATTCCTTTTCCAATGTATCGACAATGACAATGCCAGACTCTTGGTACTTTCATATGAACCAAGAAAGTGATGCCCTAATATATTACAGATCACTGTACATTTCAATGTCATGTATTCTCCTTTATGAAGCAATAAAGTATTAAATTTACTATATTTCAACCCTTGAGTTTGTTCTTTTAATACTTTAGTACAAAAAAAAAGGAAAGATGGACAAAGCACTTCTGCATGCTAAATATGGTGCTATTCAAGAAATGCAGGCATGTAATTTTTCTAGTTGTTATGTTATCTGAATGACTAGGAAACAAGCTGGATATATGAAGTGAGCCTGTAACTTCAAAGAAAACAATTGTTAACATTTGTTCCCAGTGATAAAATTTGAGCTTTCAAGCAAAAAATTAGAATTTTAGAAAACCTTATTTTTCCAACATTAAGTCTGACAGCTTCTTAATTAGATTTTGACTTCAAGAAATGTCAATTTGAAATAGTATATATTAAAATGTGTCCACACTGAAAGACCTGCATAACATAGGGAACCAATCCAAATCACAAGTCATATTACAAAATGCACAGTAAGATTCAAAGTCCAGTATAGTGCATTGAGTTTTCATGTAATACTGTAAAGTAGTATTTAAAAGATTAATGGAGGTACTCTTATAGACAGCTAAGTTGGATAGATTACAGGTAGTCAGACAGGGAAAGTCACTTGAAAGAAATCAGTGCAGAGGATGAGAACCCATTACAAATGTGGTTGGAGGTGCATTCACTGATGGCCAAGCCTCAAGACGGAATGACCTGGCCTACGTACATGCCTCCCTGAGGGATAAGCAATATACTATAACTGCTATCACCTGGTCCAATAAAGTCTAGATAGACATCAGTCACCAAGGGGGGTGACTAGGACCTCCTAACTCATCTCTTTCAAAAAAAGTCCTTGTTCTTTCCATGCACACTTGCTACATGACCTGCTTCTCCACTGTATCAACATTACCTTAGTGGCTATACTCATGATCTTACTGGTTGATCAGTTTTGTCCCATGCTGTACCTGCCTTATGATTCTGCTCTATAAGACTTCCTTTGAGAAATGGACTCACTGCCAACCCACTCAGGCCCCTCCTGTCTCTCAGGAGCTCTTCCTCCTTCAGTAAAATTTCCTCCTCTTAACCTCTGTTGTTCCTTACAATTCGTTCTTTGATTTTGAGGAACAGGAACTCAGAGTCTCGGACATCTGGCAGGTTGGGAGTTTTAATATTTCCCTTATATCATTTCTCTATATCACTCCCACCTTCTTTAGCTATATAGCCATTTACGCTGTACTTTCTTCACATAACTGGAACAACATAATGCAACTGTTTTAATGTAGAAAAAGATAAAAATTCAGCTAACTTTCATTAAGTCAGACATTCAAGGGGTTCACAAGGATCCTAAAACAATGCCCTTGTTCATATTGAACTTAAAAAAATAACTTTCATTTTTAAAATATTATGTTACATGTACAATGCTTGTTATTTTAAAATGAGTGAAGTGTTTTTTTTTTTGTTTTAATTTCAAAAACAGACAACATAACCTAATTTTTAAATAATTTTTTAGGCCGGGCATGGTGGTACATGCCTGTAAACCTAGCACTCAGGAGGCTGAGGCAGGAGGACTGTTGTGAGTTGGAGACCAGCCTGATCTACAAAGTGAGTCTAAGGCCAGCTTGAACTGCATAGCAAGACCCTGTCTGAAAAAGACCAAAAAAAAAAATTTTTTTTAGTGTGCATTTTTGTTTGTTTGTTATTTTTTTGAGACAAGAGTCTCACTATGTAGTCCAGACTGGCCTTGAATTCATGGCAATCCTCCTGCCTCAGCTTCTCAAGTACTGGGATTAGAGGTGTGTGCCACCACACCCGGCTTAAGTAATTTTTTAGTGTGAAAAGACCCTGAGACCAAAAAGTTTACTAACTATTGTAAGAGAATTCTAGAGTTGGACTGATTAGGTTTACCTGCTAGCTCTATACAAATTACTGGTTTTGTAACATCCAGTTTTTCACATATACTCTGCCTCAGTTTCCTCCTCAATGAAATGAAGGTAACAGAAGTGCTAACCTCATAGAATAACTGAACATGGAACAAAGTGATTCCTGGAAAGCACTTGAAACATAACCTGATACAATGATATACTCAATCTTAGTTGTTATTATTTTTTAGTTCAGTGCGATTACAGGTTTGTACCACCACACCTATCTGGCTCTTCGGAGCTTTTAATCAAATCCAAGCACCCTGTTCCAACTCAAGGCACTTTTTTCCATTTCAGTCAAATACTTGAGCTTCAAGGGCAGACTCCTGGAATGTTCGCTGCTATAATTTGTTTTTCATTCTTCATACTTGATAAAAGTTTATTATTTTGGGTCTCCAAGTAAAAGTACTGACTGCTTGACAATTCTTTTTTGTTGTTGTTGTTACCGGGAATCGAACTCGGAACCTTGTGCTTGCCAGGCGGGCGCTGGGCCACTGAGCTATATCGCCGGTCCATGTGTGAACTTTTTCGAGCTTTATGGGGCGTGCTACTTTGAAGTAATAAAGAAGTAGTAGATAAAAAAAGAAAAAAACTAGCACACTGAAAGAAATCTGCACTGAAATTGTTACTAAAATTTAATTATTATACACAAGGCTTTTTTAAAACTATGAAGACACTGGGACACTGAGGCAGGTGGACTGCGGGGAGGTCGAGGCCGGCCTAGATTACAAAGTATGACCCTGTCTTAATAAAAAAAATAAAATAAAATGATAGCTACTTACGGAGTCATGGGTGAGGTACGTATCGCAGTAGTCACAATAAAACCTGAAAAGAGGTGCAAGACAATGTAAGACGTCAAGCAGTGAACAAACGTCCATCCACGGAAGTGCTGTCCACTGAAGCCGAGAAAACAAAACTTCACGCTTCGAAGGGGTCACGCCAAACGTTCTCCCAAAGCCCAGGCTGTTTTCGTCGCCCTCAATATGCGCGGCCGACCGCCACGCTCCGAAAGGGCTGTCCAGAGCGCCCGACCGCCCACCCGCCCGCGCCCCCAGACCCCCGCTTTTCCCTCCAGGGTTCAAGAACCAGAACCCGCTCCACGCCCGCTCCTGGGCTACCACTACCGACCGCCACCTCCCTCAGATCTCAAGAGGACCACTCACTTAGGCATGTTGCTCTGCAGCCCGTTGGCGGCTCCGTCGCGCGCCGCCCGGAAATGACGCAAACATCAAGCGCTGATGCCACGGAAGCTGTGAAAGAAGCGCGACGACTTCACTAAGCCTCGCCCCCAGAACCAAGTGAGGGGGCGAGGCTTCGCGCGCTCTTTTTCCTCTATGGGAGGGAAGCGGGTACGAGTCCCTACGAGGTTCAATCCGCGCTCACTTAATCTTGATGGTTGACACTTCCGGAAGTGCGATGTTCCTTGTTAATATGCCCGGCGCTTCTGTAAATGCTAAAGTAGTGAGGGGTGGGGTCACTGGACAAAACAGGAAAAAATTATTTCCTCATAGACTTGACAAGAAGTAGGATAAAACAGATAAAATCAAGCCAGACGCGTTGTCACATGGCTGTAATCCCAGCACTTGAGGAGGCTGGAACAGGGGAAACGAAACTTTAACCGCCCCTCTGGCCAATTGCGACTTCGTGAGATCCTCTCTAAAAATAAAAAAGTTATAAAAAAAATTTTCTTAAAAGATCTGGCTGGGCGTGGTGGCGCACACCTGTAATCCCCACACTCGGGAGGCTGAGGCAGGAGGATCGTTGCGAGTTCGAAACCAGCCTGGGCCACAAAGTGAGCTCAAGGCCAGCCTGAATTGCATAGCGAGACCCTGTCTCGAAAAGACAGATAAATGAATAAATAAATAAATAAAATCTGGAGATGCAGTTCAGAGCGAAGGCCCTGGGTTCAACCCTATTGACAAAACAAAAGTAAAACAAATAAAAAAATAGATAAAAATCAATGGCTCAGTTGGAATAAAGTGCCGATGAAAGATTGACAGGGTGGACCTTCAACTTCAAAGAAGTGAAAGGAAGCCTGCTGGGAAAAGGACAGTTGAGAAACGATAAATTTCTTAGTGTGGTAAAACCAAGTGCAAGCCACTTTACAGATCATTTCTTTTATGAGTATCGTTAACACCAGGAGGTAGTAGACCTGTTTCTCTGCTTCCTAGAGGGACTGTGGGTAACTTATTTAACTCAACTCCTGTTCCCTCGTCTGAAAATCACGGGTAATAATTCTTATTTGTGGGGTTTAAGGAAGAGTAAATGTGAACATGTTTGTCGTGTTTAGAGCAATGCTTATACATACTAAGCCCTTCCACAAAAGGTAGTCATTGCATAGAAAAAAATGAATCAGTTTCTTCTGCCCCTGGAACCTGTACTAGCAACAAGGCCAAACTTCCAGCCTGGTCTGTCAAAAGTTCAGAATGGCTTGCTTCCCTCTCACGGAAATAAAGGTTGAGAACTGAGGAAGAGTTTTTTATTCTTCTATGCATACTCCGATGATGGGGTTGCACTAATAATAATAATAATACCTACTTTATTTCAATGTTCACTATGTCCTCAGTGCATTAAGTGCATTAATTCATTAAATTCACTCAACAACCCCACTTATTCACATTTCAGATGAGGAAACACCTTTAACAAATTGAGTAGAACAAAGACTAGTTCCTGGCCCAAAGGCAACAATGAAGTTACCAAGCTCTTAGCCCTGTAATACTGTTGCAGAACCAGAACCAAACTGAATGGAAAAAGGCTCTGCATCAAAGAGAAGCCAATCAACTTTATTATGCCTGTAGGCTGATGGGGATCACTCCCAAAGCATCACCTCAGAGCTGGTTTCCGAATTGGCTTATATATGTTTTGCAAGCAAGAAGTACAGGTGCTTGAAAGCGTGGTAAATTTCTATTGATTAGTGTCGGTCATCTCTCATTGATGGGCAGAAAGTCCTTGAAACAAGTTAGTAAAACAGGACATTTGTGGCCAGAAAATACAGGGTGTGTAGCTAAGCATGGTCAGACTGAGCTAGGTCAGGCTATCTAGTTTGCCCCTGGGCGTAGCCAGTCAAGGCTGACTGAGTCTAACTGTTGAGTTATGTGGTGGGCTAGATAATCGCATTTTCTCCTAACATGGTATCAGACTAGTTGACTTTTTAAATTTTCCATCACTTTCCCCCCTTTTTCTGGTTAGAATGAAGATTCATCTTCTTCTGAAGGGCAGAGGTGATAAACTGGGCAGTGCATGAGAGCGTCAGGCAGTGCATAGCCTCAACACACTCAGAAAGAAATTGGGTCAGAAGACAGACCATGCAAGGGTCTAGTAGGAGAATCAGCATGGGTGTCATTAGGGGTCCTTATAGGGCCCCAGTCCATGTGGGGAAGAACTCTAAGGAGCCCCACCAGGAGGATTCAGCCCGTATTCCTTGGGCCTGCTTGCTGTTCAAGGTGTTTTCGGAGCTCTCGGGAGTTTTCTCTGACTATGCCAGACTTGTTTGTATACTAGCAGCATTCCTCTTAAGAAGAGGCAAGTGCCCCTTGTCCAGCAGTTAAGAGAGCTAAGGCCCTTCTGTCTTGTGGGACAACCATCTCATCAGTTTATAGGATAGGCTACAGCAGTGATGGTGAAACTTTAAGAGACCCAGTGCCGGAACTGCAAAAAACCCATTTATCGCAAAATGCCCAAACTGCAATGAAACATGAACACTGAGGTTTTAGTTTAGAAAGAACAACTCACACATTAACCCTGTTTGTCTTAAAAGAAAAACACAATAACACGTGTGCCACAGGTTGCCCCCACTGAGCCAGAGAAACCTCGGCAGGAACTTCAGAAGGCGGGATGTTACATAGGACAACTCGCCTCCTTGCTTTACCAAGTCAACAAAAGAAGGGCCAGGATATATAGCTCAGCGGCACAAGCGCCTGCCTGGCAAGAGCAAGGTCCCGAGCTTGATTCCCGGTAACGAAAAACAAAAAGAAAAGATGTTGTAGATTTAAAATGTTTTTAAGAGCATGAACACTACCTGTAGTGTATGGTCTAGAGTTAGATTCTAGTTTGTACAGAACAGCTTTAAAAGCCATTTTGGAGAAAATGCCTAGGCCTTACAGTTACATTTCAAGAAACCCACCTTTGCCGGAGTATCCAAGTTGATCCTCGTCGGGAGGATGGATTCACCGATTATGTTGTTAGTTTTTCCTGACTTCCCTCTGTGTTATTCTGACCTGTTTGCCTTCCTGTCCATCCTATCCTCCCCTTTTCCCTGCTCTTTACAGACCGGCTCTGGAAGGCTGATGCCTGAGGCTACAGGGCCTGCATTTCTGTGCTCTTGGCTTCTGGGATGCTGACCTCCATCAATGGGAGGCATTTTCTGGAGACTGGAGGGATCTAGGAAAAAGCCAGACTACCCCATACTCCCTCTACACCCTCAAGACAAGGTGGCCAGCCCTGCCGCACACCTCGATAGCAGGCTGTCCCTTCTGGCCTAACTGGCTCCAACTGGGAGATGGTCCAGGCCCTGGGCTCTGCTAACAGTGTCCTGCAGCATGAAGACAGCTGCAGCTTCTTGCCAGTGCTAATCTCTGAGCTACTTCATATTCTCTGCTTGGCTTTTTATCTCTTCTGACACTTAAAGAAAACAATTATCTGTGTTAAATTCCCTCTGCATTAAATACTTAAAGTGCTTTATTTGTTCTGGGTTGAACCCTGATTCACAAATACACTGAGAGTTTTACCTGGCCTCCAAGTTCGAAGGGGCATCTTCCCTGTGCCCCGCCCCTGAGCCCCATTATCTTGTAAAGCAGTGCTTTTCACATTTGTTCCCACCCCTATCAACTGAAAATGCTCATTTGTTACCCTCAAGGTCAAAATCGCAAGAGTCCACCAGAGCTCGGAATGCTCTTCAGCTCCAATGTGGCGTCTGTAAAACTCAGCAGTGTTTGCCATCTATTCCAGAATACATTTATATTTTCAGTTTTACTTAAGGTCTTTCACATTTAAAAATGCATTTTCTTTATTTCTGAATAGGCAATAAATAAAACGGGAGCAAAGTTAGAAAAGCACAGGAGGATAGATTCCCCTGCTGTGCCCCTATCACCAAGTCTCCTCTGTATCTTTCCAGAGATAGATTATGCATGGGCAAAGAAGGTTTCCTGGCTCTGTTCCACAGATACAGGCTCTCACTGGGTAGGTGTGCCTCAATTTATTAGCCAGTCCTTTATTGTGAACACTTAAATTGTAGCCAGAAATGGCGGCACACACCTGTAATCCTAGCTGTCTGGAGGCTGAGGCAGGAGGATCTCTTCCAGTTTGAGGCCAGCCTGGACTGCATAGTGAGTTCTAGGCCCACTAGAACTACACAGTGAGACCCTATCTCAAAAAACCAAAACTAGATTTTAAATAAAAACTAAATTGTTTCCTGTCTCTTGCTATTACAATGATGCTACAGTTACAGTACATAATTAATTCACATGCGACATAGGATAAAGTTCTAGAAATGGAATCACTGGGTTGAAGACTTTGCATCTGTAATTTTTTTTTTTTGTCTTTTTGAGACAAGGTCTTGCTGTGCAGTTCATACTGGCCTTGAGCTCACTTTGTAGCCTAGGACGGTCTCGAACTTGCAACGATCCTCCTGCCTCAGCCTCCCAAGTGCTGGGATTACAGGCATGTACCACTACACTAGGCTGCATTTGTAATTTTGAAAAATGCTGCCAACCTGCCCTCCAAGCTGCCAACCTGCAGCTGTATTTGCAAGTATTTTCTCATTTTTTCAATTTGACAAGATAAAAATGGAATTATATTATAATTTTAAATTATTTCTCTCATGAATAAAGCCAAGCATATTTTCATGTGTCTAAAGACTTAAGGAATCAGCCATCTATGTAAACTGCCTTTCCTATCATTTTCCCTTTGTTAATGATACCATTAGGCCTGGCACGGTGACGCATGCCTGTAATCCCAGCAAGTGGGAGGCTGAGACAGGAGGATTGACGTGAGTTTGAAGCCAGTCTGGGCTACAGAGTGAAGTTCAAGGCCAGCCTAAACTACATAGCAAGACTCTGTCTCAAAAACAACAACAACAACAAAAAAAGTAATTATTCTGTTATCTCTCCTTATTGATCTATAAACCTCCTTATATATTAAGGAAATTAAGCCTTTGTTATATGAGTTACAAAATTTTTTCCATTTGTTACTTGTCTTTGGTTATATCTTGGGTAGTTTTTTATGATAAAAATTGTAATGCTGGGCATAGCGG